GGGATCGGGATTAAATATTTAGTCCCGCGGCCATATCTAATACATATGTACATATGATATAAGAACAGCATATTTCACAATACATAGCATTCAAGGCATTCTCTACATACATTGTATGTACCATATGTATAAGCTTGTTTTATTAATTATCTAATACGCACAGACTAAACAAAATGAAAACTAAACTTCGTTGAATACACACACACACACTATCCTTTAAAATGTTCAGGCCTTGCGACGATCGCTCTAGAACTTGGCGGCATTCTCTGTTTCGCTGATTCTTCTGTCTTCGATAGGAGGAGCAGAAATGAAAGGAATAAACACGAAAATAAAAACAAAACTTTAGTTGCATTGCATTGCTGCATAACATCAAAAGAACTTGCTCGTCATCATCAGCAGATGCGACAGCAACAACGGAAGCATTTCATGAGCAGCAGTGAGTGCTCCAATGATCCACCTAAAAGATTCAAGACGATCACTTGCTTGTACACATACAAAAAAGGCCAAGTACATGCACGTACATATGTATATATTAATGGGCGTACGCAGAGCATTATTTAGGGGGGGTGCCTGTGATTTTTTTTAATGTAAATTTTATTAGAAATGTTAAAATATAGCTATTAAAAATTAATAATAATCTACCTCATTAATTTTTCCCTTTTTTCTCTCGGAATTCATCGGAATATTTTTTTTATTTGTGTTACCGCATAACTTTGGACCACATTAACCGAGTTTGAACCAATCAACCGAATCGAGTTGTACCTAGCCCTACAAAAGAATTTATATTGCATAAAGTTTATTATGTACTTATTGAATAGTTAAAATACAAATTTGTTAGTTTCCTTAATTGCATGCAAATTTTAAAATCCAACTTCGTCTTTACACCAAAATCGTAATTTTTTTATTATTTTTAACCGACTTCAAAAAAAAGAGGAGATTATCTATTCGTCGGATTATTTTTTTTATGTACATATGTTACCGCATAACCGATTTCGATAATTGTTTTTTAAAGGAAAGGTGGTACGGTACCGCAGAGGTGGTCCCATCCTAATTTTGTTTAGATCCGATTAATGGATCATAAAGAAATTAACGGTAATCTTAAAGTTTTACATGTGAATTGAAGTCAGTTTTGTTTCTTTCTAAAAAATTACTTGTTTATTTAAACAGTAGTCTTCGAGGGTCTACTGCAAATCGATAAATTGTTTTAGTGATGATTTCATTTTTGTTTTTTTCTACAAAACCTCTGTGAACGCTAAGCACAGCTAAACCTAAATTCAAGTAATAATAATTACTTTACCTTTTTTTTTTAAGTAAATGACTGTTTATCGGACTAACAAAAGTAAACAAAAGTTTTAATTTATTGCATACATTTTTTGAATTGGAAATTGATTATGAATTCATAGAATGAAACTTACAATGCAACTTTGGAATTTAGGTTGGTCGGACTTGTGACCAAGGGATATTTGTACATATGAATGCATACATATATATGTGTAGGTTCAAAATATTCCTACATACATACATATATTTGGAGGCGAGCAATAAAAATGCGATCAAACTGGAGGCGGTTGGTTTCACTTCTTTTTTGTGGCCGCATGCCGCATTAATAGGGTATTAAAAGTTTAGCACTTGTGATTTGAGCAGTAGCAATTTCTACGAGTGTGTTTGCATGTAAATATATGTACATACGCACAGATATACATATACGAGTGGGAGCCGCGGGTGGCTGTGCATACATATGTACATACATATGTATACATCAAAGTAAACAAATATTTGAGATTTGTTGTTAAAGGATCGCAAAGATCAATTTAGACAAATTTTTGCTTTGAAGTAAGTTTAGTGTGTGTCAGTTTTATTTGAATACTTATGTATACCGAATTGTAAAATTTTTGTTATGCACCCAATACCGCTATACCGCGTTTTTTGCTATAACTTTCTTATTTGCTATCCGATTTTTTAAATTTTTATGTCACCGAAAAGTCCCAGTCAGGACTATAATTGAATAAAGCCTAATCCTTTTTAGCAGGGTCGTCATCGTGTTTGTGGAGTTTTAGATTTTATAGTGTAAAAATAAAAATCTAGGGATAGTAATTTCGAAATTAGTGAAGATATAAATTAAAGCAATTTTAAGGCCAAAACTGTTTAACCCATTATAGACCTGAACAAGACCTTTTCAGTGACATGAAGATTTAAAAAATCGGATATAAAATAAGAAAGTTATAGCAAAAAACGCGATTTAGCGGTATTGGGTGCATAAAAAAAATTTTACATCCATACATTTACATAAGTATTCAAATAAAACTGACACACACTAAACTTACTTCAAAGCAAAATTTTGTACTGAAATATGAAGCATTATATGTACATACATACATATATATGTACATACATACTTAGATTCGTTCATAATGAAATAAAATGAAGACATCACCCCTTGATCTTTTCTCGCAGCCTTTAAAAACAAATCTCAAATATTTGTTTGTTTGTTGTTTTGCGGTTGCTTAAAACTTTTTTTTTACACCCAAAACTTTCTCTCGACATAAATGTTTAAATAAAACTTAATGTACATATCTGCATATGTTTATACATTTAATAAATATAAATATAAATATAATTACTGGCGTTTATATTTCATTGGATTACAAGTATGTTTCTATTATGTATGTGAGTGAATACCCAATCTTGCATACACCCTTCGCAGGGAGCCCCTGTTTATTTCTCAGGTATCATAATTATTTAATTGAATTGAGAAGGTTTAATGACTTTTGCAAATCATTAATCATTCGCTTTCACACCCACCCAGTTGCTTCCTTCTGGTGCTGCCCTTTTTCTCATTCTCAAGCATAAAATATTGACCCATTTCAAAAAAGCATACAGACCCTTTTGTTAGTTGCGTTCCAGGTGCTTCATAATATTTACGATATTCACTATTTGCAGGAACAGCTGTTTTCTCCATTAATAACTCTTATGGAAGGCGGTCACCTGGAACGGAGTTTGCTCTATGATTTAAAAACCCTATTTTTTATTTACATATGTACATATGTTTTCCAAACCAATTTCTTCTTTTGGGTATAAAAATGTTATTCATTCAACAGCAAAAAACAAAAGAATATTTTTTTTTTAATTTCAAACAGTACTATGGGAAAATGCAACATGTTTTCATCGAAATTTTATTTTTAGAAAAATCCTGAGTATGTAGTTTGGTAGCCCATTTATTAATTTAATATAATAAAGTGCACATTTCAAGTCGCTAAAGATTACCGTTGATTTGTGAAAATTGAAAATTTCGATGAAAATTTCTTTCAATTACCCAAGTTCTGTACAAAGTTAAAAAAAAAATTGTATGGAAAATAAATAGATAAATATCGTCGATGTTTTTGCCAAACCGCCCATCGGCCAATTGCAAAACCGCTTATCTTACGACACTCAAATTTTACGGGAAAGCGAAAAACGGTTTATTCTTTGAAGGCATTCCCTTGATACGCGGTATTTTCTCTAGCTATTATTTTACAAATCTGTTGTTTTAATAACGATTTAAGGTTTTTTATGCATAAATCTCGATGCCTGGAGTTCAGGGTTACCAAATCTCATTTTTGCCACAACGGCGATTTAGGTGGTTTTGCAACTGGTCGATGGGCGGTTTTGCAAAAACATCGACGAAATGTATATATGTATAAATAAAATCGTCAAAACGTCAGGGTAAGCATATTTTTGAAGTTGACTGTTAGCATAATTTTCGTCCACTGAGGAACTAACTTTTTCAGAAGAGCCTTTTTATCCACCGTTTCATGTTGTAAAAAGCCAAAAATTCATTTTTTAAACAAATTCAGTGGTCGTTGGCTCTTATGGTCGCTTCATGGGCACCCATGCAGTGCATTAAAAGTTAAAACAGCATGCCGCAGAAACTTGCTGCACAATGTATGGAGTCATCGCAAAGTTTGCGGCTATAAAAAAAAATGTTCAATGTTCCTTTCCACATTGACGATTTGACTCTCTCGAAACCAGTGGGAACAGATTTTCCAAAATATAATACCCTTCATGTGCGGCACTTTTAGCTCGTGTGCGTATCCGTGGGTTTTCCTCGCATTTGTTTTGTTCTCTCATTCATTTCAATTTGTTTTACACGTATAGATACGCTACCTTGGAAACCGGCTTTTGCCAGGGCACTCCAATGGGATAGATGCCGAATGGTAACTGGGTGGCTGGACTGGGTGTTCGTTGTTGGCTGGCTAGTCGTTCCTGTTCTTCAACTTCAGTTCTTGTCGAACATTGAACGAGTGCGGTTGAGTTGCTGGAAATGCGCGCGTGTTTTTTGGGAAGTGATTCAATTAGAAGAGAAAGGTGCATTTGTTTCAGTTGGAGCAAGAAATGGAGTGAAAAAAACCTTGTGAAATACAAAATCTAAGAAAATATGTTTTTGTTGTGAAGTGCTTAGAATCTTTTTAAGCGATTTTTTGAAGATATCGGAGTGTTGTTGATACAAAAAAAAATAAATAAATAAATTACTACCTTTTTAATTAAGTTTTACGTAGGTAAGTGATTTGTTACAGTCACAGACTTTGCTCGCTGATAGACCCGGCGGGTAACTTCACATTACTTTTATACATTTACACCAGCGTGAGCATGTATACATAAAAGAGCGTATGCACTTATGCCCGTTTACCGGCGACCACAACAAAGCCAATATCGGCAGTCGCATTGTGCAAGGCAAACCATCGCACGCACCTCCATTAGTTTCCGGCGTATCAGTATCAGTATCAGGTAATACGATTGTTGCTTCGCTTCGCGTATCTTGCCCATGTCGTTTGTCTGTTTGTGGACTGCTTGAGTACACGCCAACTTTAGTGCCATCAATCGAGCCGCACGCCGCCTTTTATCACCTACATTTGCCGTAGCCATCGCCATCGCTATGGCCGCTGCCATTTGCCATTCCGCGCGTCGATATCAAAGAAACAAAACATAGACCATAAAATAATTATGAAAATACATACATACATATATACATATATACATATGTATGCGTGTTTAACCGCTGAAACAACTACATACATACATACTTCAATTCGTTAGCAAATATCGTCTCGATGACGGTCCCGGTTTCGACGCACCGACTCGCATTGAGTAAATTTCTATTAATGTAGTGTGTATATTTACACAAAGTTAGAGCAATCACAAGAAGTTATATGTATATATACCTACATACATAAATGATTATACATGCATATGTACACAAAATAAAAATAGAAAAACACGATTATTTAAAAAGTGCAACTTCATGCATTAAAAAAAAACTCGCCTCCACCATCAAATCACCAAAGACTCAGCCGTAAAGTGCAAAACGTACACATGCGTATAAATAAATATTAGTTGGCAAAATATTAGCTTATGCGTTTAAAGTGAAGTGCATTACTTGTGTTGATGAGTGTGTGGGGCCTTAGCTAGTATGACCCCTTGTGCGTGAGTTTTGTGCACTCAAGGTACATACATACTATGTACATACATTCCATTCCAAGTTGCGCTGGCCAAGTGTAAAATTTCTGTGAAAAACTACGTATTAAACCCGCCGTTCGTATGCGTTTTCCGTTGAACATTTGTGCATGCTTTCTTGCCAACATCAATCAATAAGCATCAACAGCGAGGATACGTGTTAAGAGTTTTTTTCTGGATACAAAAAAAAAAAAAAAAAATATACGAACGAGCAACGAAATGAATTATTGCCGCATTGCGAATTGGTCATTGACCGCAGCTCTTTGGCTACTTCCACTCATAGGTAAGGATTATTCTCTGAAATTAATCGAACCGCTTGAAATAATTACATATGTTAAAGGTACAAAGGTTACATGTCAAGGCACTGAACTTTTCCAAAAACAACTTGAAATGCATCTGGTTTTCATAACAGAAAAAAATATATATTAAAAAACCTGTCCCTCCGTGTGCTTAAATCGTCATGATCCTTTAACGAATCCACAGAGTCCCTGCAGTTAGACGATGCCTTATTTCCTTTGTAAATTGTCGTCTAAAAGATTGTAGGAATTTTCGAAATTCCTCATGGGGGACTAGGTCGTTGTCAACCTGAGAAGCTTGGACGCAGCCTGGCAGTCTACATAGAATCAAGGCGAACTTTAAGTGAACGTCCATCATGCTTACCAACTTTGCAGAGATCTCAGCATACAAAATATTACAGTTAATTTAAGATCCATCATTGAAGATTAGATTCTCCTCTATTTCTTGAAACTTTGTGAGATTCCCAGTCTCTTTCGTGAAGAACCTCTGTCTCAAATAAAGGCAGCCTGTAAGGAGCCTAGGCCTTAGAAAACTCTTAGCTGCAGAGCATTTGAACGTCTTTAGTTGGAATATCGCGAGTCGAGCATCGAGCGGACTGTAGGCAAGGTAAGCTGATTGAACTAGGTCAACCACTTACCAACAGACCAAGGCGTCAGTTATAGTAAGAACTATATAATATGGACATTTAGGTATGAAATATGAGAAAAATACTTAAAAAAATACATGTGTACATGAATATATCCTTTTAAAAAAATGTAAAAAACCGCAAACTAAATTTATTTCAACTTCAAGTCGGCACAGGGTTGCCGCCGTGATACTTCAGCAGGGCTGCCATAATCCTGAACCCATCGACCAGGACACTTATTCTCTATAAATAAAGTTTCTTTGGTTCTCGCGTTGCATTATTTTGAAGCATTTTCTGATATTATAAGCAATGCAGTTTTGTGGCACAATCCGTAGAGCTGAAATGATGATGAACCGCTCAGCTTCTGAATTTTTTTAGTCATATAAGAACAAATTTCTCTTGACTTAATGCTTGCCTTACCACTATATGCATAACCTAAAGGCCGTCTGAAGTGAAGCCATTCTAAAAGACTTACCCAATAAGGGCTTCATAGAAAGGGGTTTCCTATTTACAATTTACGCGAATGTACTTAAGTGTATGTTTATATTATTTAAGGTGTTCTTACACGATATGTATTTGCATCTGTAAATGTGACTTTCAATATACATATCTGTAATTGCGTATGCCTGTCAAATTCACAGTCTTTATTTAACTATTTAAATAAAAAAACGTTCTTTAAAAACGAAATAAACTAAACTCAGATGATTCGATCTGTGTGTCAGATGAAAATAGAAACATTCCTATTTCGCTTGGTACAGAAACAAATCTAATTTGCCTTTACACGATATGTTGACATTTTCATATGTAAAAAAGTGGCATGTACACATGCAAATACATATCGTGTAAGAACACCTTTAGCATTACAAATAGGATTCAACAAGCATTTTAAGCCTTAATAAAACATATTTGATCTGAACCTAACATATTTAAATAGCAGTATGATTTTTATGAACTAAAAACAGCTTTAAAAGAAAGGCCTTCAGGAGTACGTTCTACAAAAGCTCTTCTGGAAGCTCTCCTTTGATTAGCGAAAGCAGAAGCTCTTCAATTTGTGCCACTCCGCACAAAAAAGGAAGGAGAAGGGAATGACTCTCAGAAAGACCTTTTTGAAGAGATTTTAACTCCTGAAATTATCTACTGTGTAGTCTGTGTGACCTCTCAGCCGTGTACCTGTTCAGGAACTTGAATTTTTTTGGCATTTGCCTGAAAATACAAAATTATATTTCAACCAAATAAACTAAACAGAAACAAAGTAAACTCACCAGATATTCTTCAACATGTTAGAAAAAATGTTTCATTCTCGATTTTCGACTAATGACAGAAAGCTTAACCTTTTTTTTTCAAAGCAAAAATCTGCTAAAAATTATATGGATATCTGTTAGAAAAAATGTTTCATTCTCGATTTTCGACTAATGACAGAAAGCTTAACCTTTTTTTTCAAATCAAAAATCTGCTAAAAATTATATGGCTATCTGCATTGGCCTGCGTTAAAAAACCAGGACAATTTAAGTGTAGACCAGCACACCACGACTATTTTTTTTAAATCAGGACCAATCCTGGAAAAGCGGGACGTCTGGCAGCCCTACACTACAGCAATAGAACATACATACGTATGTATATACATCCCACCTTTAATAACATAGAGAAGTAACTCGTAATTTACGTTTTTGGAGATTTCATTATGCAATTAATAAGCTTAAAAATAGAATATGTCTAACAGTCTAACAGACAACCAAACTTCCCAAATATGACGAAGATATTTGTCTTCCCATCTGTCTTTTGGTATACCAACTGTATGAATTAATAAAACTTTGATTGCGTTTCCCACAAAATGGAAATTTTGAAATACTTTGTTATACTATTAAAGTTGCGACATGTGTCGTTACCTTAATATAAAAAAGGCTTTCTCTCACATCGCCGCTGAAATGCAAAAAAGCCGTAATTAACTAAAAAAATTTTATTGCAGAAAACAATGTGGGGACTTATAATTCGATGAAGTGCGTCATAATCAATCGAAAAGTGAATTTCGAATTTTTTGTTAGTTACGGCTTTTTGTGTTTAAGCGACGATGTGAGACAGGGCCTTTCTATATTAACGTAACGATACATATGTATGCCGCACGTTTAATAATAAAACGAAGTATTTCAAATATTTGTTATTTAATCCAAAAGGAAAAAATATGGAAAGTACGAACAAAAGATGCCAGAAATGGTGGAAATTGTAACTACCCTTCTAGATAGAAAATCCAATGGGAACAACGGCTTAAAATGCTGGGATTTATTTAATATGTAGCACTGCAGTCAGCGACACTAAAACGTACATGCATATGTATGTATGTATTTGTGCATTTAAGTAGGTACCCATTGCGAATTTCTCCTGCCATTGTGTGGCTGTACCATTTTCTGTTGTGTTAACTAATATGAATTCAAACATATGTAAAACTTGACTTAGTGTAGATATATACACTTGTGATCAGCTAATTAAGCCAGCAACATTTTGACAAAATTTTGGCAATTTTTCTTTTGTTTATCGAATGTTTATTATTTTTGTCATAAAAGTTTAGCTCATTATATAACAAACACCATATAAATCCAAATTTCAAACGTTGTGCAAAAATTTTTAAAAATCTGTAAAATTTCAGCTAAATTTTCAGATCTTGTTGAGTATGCAGTTTAATAGCCCATTAAATTGTAGGGTAATGATGTGCGGCCGCTGTGGTGAAGTGGTTAGCAGTGCGCGCTACCATTCCGAAGGGCCCGGGTTCAAGCCCGGTTCAGCCCAACATCAAAAATAAAAAAATAATAAAAGTTTTTATCTAAAGAGCTGTTTGCAGCTCTCAAGAAGAAAAGTACGTTGCTTTTGCTGTAAATTTTCTTGAAGAAATAAATATTCTAGCATTTTTTTTCTTGAGAACTGCAAAATTGATTTAAGAAATTTGATAGAAGAAAATTTATTCTCGATTTCTTGTGCGGCATTTTATATGAATTTTTCGTTTATCCTGAGAGCAGCCAACAGCCCTTAATAGCGGTTGATTTTTAGTATTTTTTTTTCTGACTGCATTATGCCTTTTTTCCCATACAAAAAAATTTTTTGTATGGAAAAATATGGGTAATGCAGTCAGATTCTTTAGCAACTTAAAACTTGCACCATATTACATTAATGGGCTATTAAACTGCATACTCAAAAAGATTCCGAAAAATCTTAATAAAAAGTTCAAATTTAGCTGAAACTTTACAGATTTTATATAATTTTTGCACAAAGTTTGAAATGTGGAGTTTCTATGGTGTTTGTTACATAATGAGATAGACTTTTATAAAAAAATATAAACATTAAATAGACAAAAGTAAAATAGGCTTAATTAGCTGATCACAAGTGTATATATGAATGGATATATATAGATAGATATATGTACATATGTAGATGTTACTAACGTCAGGAATACTCTCTAATAGCATTAGTCGGGAACGCAAACCTTATTGTGTTACTTTAAGGCTTAGTGAATATGAACACTTACTACATATGTACATATGTATGTACATACAGGCATAAGCAACATATGTACATTTGTACATATGAGTTCATATTTAAGTCTCCATAGTAGTTCATATGAACCAACTTTACTTCTTGCCTTTTGTACCGTACCAGTAATTCAGTGTATCTAAGCCTGAAGTGTTCTGCTTGCCTTAGTTTGAAGAGGATCAGCATTCCCTGCTTCTTCACGCTTCGTTACGCTTAATGTATGTATCATTTCCATGGCTACTGATTTTTCTCTTTTATTCTTCCTTTATATTTAAGTTTAACGAATTATGCTTACTGACAGCATTTTTTCCATAGTCCCTTCAACATCTACGCGTATGCCCGTATTTGTGTATATTTCCTACACATATCTATGTATACCATCTTAAAAAATATACGCCTCGCATTATCATTGTAAATCAAGCCTTAATTTACTTCTCTTTTCCTTCTCATTATTCTTGAAGAGGCGAAGATGTTTCTATTTGTCGTTTGTTGGCCACTTAAAACCAATTATCTAGGATGTATAGTTACTGAACAGTTGTTATGTAGGTATGTATATACTAGGCTTGCCAACCGTCCTCCTTTCAGGGGGCCACGAAATGCCCTCCGTTAATGGTAAAAATTTAAATGAAATAATATCTTACCTCTTTTGCATTCTATACATTTGCTTTTTCGATCATGAATGTAAAGTGCAGTGTGAAAAAAGGTACAGTAATTTAATAAGAAGAGAGTTAATAATAAATTTAAAAGTGTCAGTTTTACAATGTTATTTTAAATAACAAGAGATCGATCAAGCGACGAAAAGCACGAATTTAAATATTAAATTCTCCCACTTAATTATAGAC